ATTCATGTCCTTTGTATAAAACATCTAGATCTGGCAATAGGAAGCAAGACAGCAGTATATGCATTGTTCACAGTGCTGAGAAGATTCACTTTCCTTACCCTTCAGTGTCATATCACATAAATTGGTTGAGAATTCATCTGTGATGAAAAACTCTGTTTAATATAATGAGGAATTCTATTTGATTACCTAGAATAGTGTCAGCTAGATCTCTGCTGGTTTAATTAGTAAGAACTGAATGTTAATTACTTTGTAGCTAAACTTTTGAAGTCACACAGAAGAAAAACACATTTTTTTTTTCAAAAAGAAAAAAGATTAGCAGTTAAACCAGTTTGCTTGACTTTGAACAGTTGTGTGTACACTATGTAAATTTGTTAAAGATTAATGAATTACCAACACCTCATGTTCTTGGAAAATGTACATGTTTTAATGATTTTCCCCTAATTTTACTGTCATATTGTACTTTGTCATTTTATTCCAAGATATTTTAATTAAAATAAGAGGTGTTTTAATTTTAGTTTTCATTCTAGAATTCCTGCTATTTATATTTTATAAAATGTTTTATTGCTCTAAGTGTCAAAATCAAAACAGAAATGAAAATCTCCTCACTTTGGTTGTATTGCTACCCAGAAATTAAATGTGAGACAATTACATAAATCCCAATTTTAAATGTGTCAAAATTAAATTGCTTTTAGTATTCTTATTTCTGAGTGCCTGGCTTAGACAACACTCAGTAATAGAGACTGCTGAGTATACAAAGCCTTGATTCATTATAATTTTTGTATGTATTGTTATTGAACTACCATTATTTTACACCCAAGAATTTTGGGTGTCTCCTTGCTTTATGCCTCTTAAGAATGTGTGTCTTTAGGCCTCCCTGGTGGCCCAGTGGGTTGGAGTGTGGCACTGTGAAGCTAAGCCAAACCTTGGCTGCTTCAGTGTGAGTTAGATCCCCGCCCCTACAAACAAAATGAAGGTGTCAGTGATAGGGAAATATATGTGACACAGTGTTGCAAACTTTGTGTTAGAATTTTCAAATGTTTTTCTTTTTTTATCAATTTTTAAAAATGTGGATTCTTAAAAGAGTTTGACTTAATCTTAAAAATCTATTATACAATTGTAAATTAAAGGAATTCAATGCATGTTGATTTCCTCAAAACCTGTTAATGTGATCCAAAAATATTTATTTAGTTGATACTGTTTTTCATTTTTTAAGAAAAATATGCATACCATTATTCTAGAAAAAAATGTGTTTTCTGGCATTGATTAGAGATTGAATATATATATATATACATATATATGTATATATATATCATGTATATATATATATACATATATATATGTATATATATATCATGTATATATATATCTCATTTACTTATCAGCTGATTTACACAATAGTAAAATAGTAAGTAAGGACTGTGTATTTCTTCAACAATGAGTAAGTGGGTAAGTGGTAAGGGAATACATAAAGCTACTCTAAATACATCCCATAAGTTTATGGCTGACATGCACTAAGGAAATTAGAGCTTTTGAGAAGGCCAGCTATCTGCTGCTGCTATACTGGTTTGATCAAGGGGGCAAAGGGCCTTAGTGATGGGAAGCAGAG